TCGTGCCTCTTTTGGGGGATAGACCTTTCTTCCTTGCATGCCGGACCCCGGCAAGCGGCGGGGCGGCCGCGGACCGTCGGCCTGGCCCGCGGCAGCGCTGATCGGCGGCAGCCCGACCCCAAGAGGCACGGACAGGGGACCGACCACGACGACGACGACGACGACGTCGACGACGACGTCGATGACGACGACGGTGACGACGAGCGAAAGCGAGACCGAGTGAGAGAACGACAGCAGGGCCACGAAGAGCACGAAGTAGGCCACGAACTCACGCGAAATGCTTCCACACGCATCATGCGACCATCATGATAACCATCCCCATCATGGGGGATTTTTGTTTTATAGCGGGGTCCGTTTTTTCCATTCCCAGATGTCCCGCCCAATGAGGTCTTGCAAACACTTCCTCCGAGGAATTTCAACATATCCCACCTCGAAAACGCATGCCCGCGCCTTGCTGCGCCGATGCGAGACCGCCAGTGGAGCCCCAGCCAAGGGTAAAGCACAAAGAGGTATCGAGCTACAGGATTGCATTGGTGGGATGAGGGCTGTCGGAGACGAGGCAAGGACCTGGCCCTGAATAGAAGGGGGGGTATCTCGAGCAGGGCCGCTGTTGTTGCCGGGAGCGGCGCCAATGCTGAAGACAGTAGGGCGCTAGTCCAGCGTATGACATAACGAAGTCTCGAGCGGGAGCGCTGGTTTTGTCGGGACGGCGGTTGTCGGAGGCGAGGAGAAACACCGCCTTCAATAAAGGGGGGAAGTCTCGAGCGGTAACCGTGGTTTTGTCGGGACGCGGGCTGCCAGCGGCGAGGAACAACACCGTCCTGAGGAAAAAGCGAGGAAACCTCGAGCGAGAGCGTTGTTCTTACTGGGAGCGGCGCCAATTAACAAAAAAAGGGCGCCAGCCCAGCGTAAAACGGGAGGAACTCTCGGGCGGGAGTGCTGATTTTGTCGGGACGGCGGTTTTCGGTGGCGAGGAGGAGCACCGCTTTGAATAAAAAAGGAAGGAGGTCTCGAGCGGGAGCGTTGCTGTTGCTGGGGGCAACGGCGCCAATCCAAGGTAAAAAGGGAGGAAGTCTCGAGCGGTAGCGCTGGTTTGGTTGGGACGGCGGCTTTCGGTGGCGAGCAAAAGCACCGGCCCTGAGTAAAAAAAAGAGGACGTCTCGAGCGGGAATGTTGTTGAATTCTCATTTATGAAGAATAATTATTGTTGATCCCCCCCCACCGGTGCATATTGTGTTTTCTCAATCAAAGTGTGCCCCTCGACGTTCGCACCCTGTTTTTTGACAGGGGAAGTCTTCCTGGTCAAACTGGCCCCCTGGGCCCCGGGTTACAACAACAACGGCTCCCGCCTGACACTTCCTTACAATTTAGCCAGGACCCCCGCTCCCGCCCGAGACTTCCTCGCGTTTTATTCAGGGATCGCGCTCTCGCTTGGGACTTCCTTACAATTTATTTAGAAATCGCTCTCCCGGCGCTCTGGAGTCGCGCTCTCGCTGGAGACTTGCTTGCAACTTACTGAAGAATGGCCTTGCGTTGGAATTTCCTGCAATTTGCCCAAGCGCCGCGATCCCGACACCCAGGCACCCAGGAGTCGCGCCCATTGTGGCCCCATGTGCATGCCCTTCGTGGCCTCGCTGTCGCCATTTGTGTCCCCCTCACTGTCCTACGTGGCCCAGTTGCTACCCTCAGTGGCCCCATAGTTGCCCTCTGTGGCCCCGCATTATCTGCACTTCGTGGCCCCCGATCGTTTGCGTTCACGCATTCCCTTCGTGTCCCCGCTGTCGCCCTTCGTGGCCTACTGCGTGCCCTTCGTGGCCATGCTGTCGTTCTCTCTCGCTCTCGCTTTCGCTCGTCGTCGCCGTCGTCGTCGTCGTCGCCGTCGTCTTCGACGTCGTCGTCGTCGTCGTCGTGGTCGGTCCCCTGTCCGTCCCTCTTCGGGTCGGGTCGACGGTCCGCGGCCGCCCCGCCGATCAGCGCTGCCGCTGGCCAGGCCGACGGTCCGCGGCCGCCCCGCCGCTTGCCGGGGCCCTGCCTGCAGGGAAGAAAAGTATACCCCCCAAAAGGGGTTCGATCGAAGACGAAGAGGGCGGGTATCGAGGGTTTGGGAAAGAGGCGTTATTTGACACTCGAGCACGTAAGGGCGAACAGTCTTAAGATTGTTGTTGTTGTTGATGTTGTTGTTGGAAGGGCTGGTTGTGGCGCCCCCCAAACCGCTCGAACGTGACTTTTGTTTGCAATGAAAATGTAGCCGGCGCCGATGCGAGAGCGCCAGGGCGCCAGGGAGGTGTCCAACAACCCAACGAGAACAGCACAAACAACAACAATACTAACAATACGCACCGCGGAACCTCATTTGAACCACGCGCCCAGGGACAGTGACTGACCGTTCGGCCCCTTCATTCTCATGATATCTAGTATCCCGATGATTGTTTTGATACATAGAAAGTGATATCGACAAAAACTAGCCGCAACTGCGGAAAAGAATGAGGGGGCGGCGGGGACGTCGGCAGCCAGCGAGACTCTGCAGAAACCCGCCGCAAGCGCTTAATTTTGACAAATCATACAACGAACTCGCCGCAGGCGCCAATTTTCGTTCAAACAAGACAGCTGGATCACGGGGTTGGCGGGTCGGGTCACGGGTGGGTCGCGGGTGGGTCGCGGGCCGGGTCGCGGGTGCGTCGCGGATGTGTCGCGGGCCGGGTCGCGAAGGATGTCGTGGGCCGGGTCGCGGGTGGGTCGCGTGCCGGGTCGCGGGTGGATCGCGGGTGGGAGCCTCCTGGGCCGTCTCTGGGCTTTCTTGGGAGCTTATTCGGCCGTCTTGGAGCGATCTGAAGGGCCTCTGACGCGGTCCGGGACCGTGGGGAGGCAGAACATGGGAGAGCGCAAGAATGCTTCAAAAACCATAGGGAATTTATGATTTTCGGCTTCTGGGGCCCTTTGGAGGGGCCTCTGGAGGCGCTCCTGGCGCGTTTTGGCGGCGTCGTCGGCCGTCCTGAAGCCATCTTCGGCGTGTCCGGGGCCTCTGGGGGCTGTCTTTGGGAGTCCTGGGGGCCCAAGAATCATGTTCCCGGAGAAGCTTCCGGGAACATGATTTCGAACGGGGCCCACTTGGGCCTCCCTGAGGCCGTCTTGGGGGCCTCCTGGGTTGGCGTTGGGGCCTCTTGGGCCGTCTCGGGGGGTTCCGTGAGCCCCACAGGCCGACCCTTTTGGGCCGTCTTGGGCCGTCTTGGGCTGTCTTGGGGCTCCGCGGGGGCGTCTGGGGCACTGCGAAAACGAAGCCAGCGAGCATGCTAAACATGTACGCTTTACAATGGAAAATTGCCGATGTTTGCCTCTTGAAGGCCCTCTCGGGGCCCTCTTCGGCCATCTTCAAGCCATCTCGGGCCCTCTTGGGCCTCGCTGAAAGTGTCCTGGGGCCCAGTAGGGGGCCCTGGGAGCCTGGAAATCATGTTCCCGGAGAGGCTTCCGGCAACATGATTTCGAACGGGGCCCTCTTGGGCCTCCCTGAGGCCGTCTTGGGGGCCTCCTGGGCCGGTTTCGGGGCCTCTTGGCCCGTCTTGGGAGGCTCCGTGAGCCCCACAGGACGACCCTTTTGGGCCGTCAGGGGCCCTCTTGGGTCTCTCTTGGGCTGTCTTGGGGCTCCTCGGGGGCGTCTGGGGCACTGCGACGACGAAGCCAGCGAGTAAGCCGAAAATGTACGTTTAATAATGGACATGGGCCGATGTTTGCCTCTTGAGGGCATCTTCAAGCCATCTCGGGCCCTCTGGGGCCTCGCTGAGGCTGTCTTGCGGGCCTTTTGGGCGTCCTCGGGACCCGGAAATCATGTCCCCGGAAAGGCTTCCAAGAACATGATTTCGAACGAGGCCCTCTTGAGCCTCCCTGAGGCCGTCTTGGGGGCCTCCTGGGCCGGTTCCGGGGCCTCTTGGCCCGTCTCGGGGGGTTCCGTGAGCCCCACACCCTTTTGGGCCGTCAGGGGCCCTCTTGGGTCTCTCTTGGGCTGCGCTGCGGCTCTGCGGGGGCGTCTGGGGCACTGCGACGACGAAGCCAGCGAGTAAGCCGAAAATGTATGTTTCACTAAGGAAATGGGCAGTTTTGTGCCTCTTGAAGGCCCTCTTGGGGCCCTCACGGGCCCTCTTGGGGCGCTCTTGGGCGTGTTCGGGGCCTCATTCAAACTTTCTTGACCATCTGTACGGCCCGCGTGGCCTGTCGTGGGCAATTTGGAAGCGGCCCGGGGCAGTTCTGGGGGGTCTGTGACCCCCCAAGGGTTCGGGGGGGGCGGCCATGGGGGATGACGGCACCGATTTTGCCCTCCCGGCCTATCCCCATATATATATATATATATATATATATATATATATATATGTATACACACATGTATGCATATACCACATTATAAAGAGGGGGGCGGCGAAGATGTTGCCCATGCGCCAGATTGCAGCATACTCGTGCCAGCTGCGGGTAGGTCGAATGTGTTCGTTCGTTGACCGCGCGCCTCGGTTGATCCGGCTGCGCCGCGTCGGAAGCGCGCGCTGCGCTCTCAGCGCTGTCATCTGTTGATTGTGGCGAGGTCAAGGAAAAGGATTGGGCGCAGGCGCGCCATTGCACGCTGGAGGTGCTGCATGACGCCAGCCCTGCGTCGTTGTTGCGTGTGATTGCGGCCGACTTCACAAGAACACAGTTTTCGTGCATCAAATTTGCCGGGCGGGCATGTGGCCACTTGCCGAGCTGCTTGGCCCTCCAGCATGTCCGCGGGACCAGATTCGCACATGACATAAATCTGCTGACAATGGCGGCTGGACGTACACAACCTTATCGAGAGCATGGCGAAAAGACCCAGAGAACAACCCAAATCTGGGGGGCACGGCTTACTACTGGAGAAAGCGTGCGATGAAATTGATGTACGGTGTGTCCTCAACTAACATGTAACCATATGGTACAACATAACATGACGCCAGCACACGAGTGTAGAGACTTGGGAGCGATGATTGATGCAGCCGCACCTCTGGAGCCTGTAACGATATATTGCGGAAGTCGTCGGCGACTGTCTCCAGGTGGCCCAACAAGGTCTCCAGGCGCCCTGCGATAAGATGATAGCAGCGAGCTGAACAGCACCATACTACAGAGTTCCAAAGCATGCTTGGCACAATTGACAGGGTATCCCCTTCGTAAGCTGCCTCGTTGCTACATGTCATTTCATCTGCGAAATGCATGTGAGCCTTGTGCTGTGCGCACTTGCATACCTGAAGACTGTCCGCCGACTCCTTCCATCAAGCGTGTGAGCTGCTCCTCGAAATCACGACGTTGACCTTGGGACAGGCTTCGGTCGCTCCGGACTACAACGAGCTGGCCGGGAACCCAGGATACGCCTCTAGCCCTCCATGTGCAATTGCCCTGTGCCCGCCGCTCACAAGAGAGTGTGCAGTTTGAAACAGGCATGTAGCCTGCACAGGGCCACTCGAATCATGCTTGCGAAACAGCCCTGCCAATGACAGCACCGCTTTGTCCTACAGTTCAGGGTGTGCTGGACGCTGTCACTGGCAGTTCCTCTTTTGCGCAAAGACGCTTTGCACTGAAATTCCGAGTTCACGCGTTCCTTCGAAAGCAAGCTGCATGCGCGTCTCGGGTGCCTGGCACGTCCGCCTCGCTCCTGGAGTAGAGCGCCGCGTCCCTGCACCCAGTGGCTGACCCAAAGAGCGCAACAAGATGATACGAGCAAAGAACGATTCGCAACGCCACCTGCTTTCCACACACTCTTGGCCAGCTCAGGACGCGAAAGGGTGGCCAGAGGGCCCCACGTGTGCAACACGGTCACTGGGATGCGGGGGACCCCTCCGCGGTGCTGATCAGACCATGCAGCCAGGACGCTGTCGATGCCACGTCCAACACGAAAATTGAACGTATCTCGGGCGTCCTCTCCGCACTTCGACCCAACGGAACTCCTGCATGTCATCTACCCTTGGTGCTTCCAGATAACTCATGCTGAATGCCCACTTGCTCTGCTCTATAATCAACGTTCCGCTAAATTCGTGGACACTTCCGACCTCCAAGTCCCGTCCTCAAGAACGCTGACAGCTGCTGAGGGTCCAGCAGGGCCGCGTGCTTGTCTCCGAAGCGCTTCATGGAAGCTGCTGCCTCCCGACCACTTCCAACCTTTCTACCTATACGACCACCATTAGGGTGATAAGGAGGTTGGGGGAAGGGACATAACCAACTACTGGCAATTGCGATGGGTGTGGCGGTGACGATGCTGATGGCGCGTCCCAGCAGTGATCGCAGTGGCCGCGGTAGTGATCGCACTAGCCGCGGTGGTTGCACTGCGATGAGTGGTCGCTAGGACTAACACCAGGAGAGCCCACTCAACCGATCCAACAGTCGATCTCACTTGATCGATCTCACAACCAATCTCACTGTCGATCTCACTCAACGGATCTCGCTATCGATCCCAGTCGATCTTACAGCCAATCTCAATATCCGCCGACCCTGTCGGCGTGTGGAAGACGCATCCCGGTGTCGTCGTCTTGCGGGGATCACCGTCGTCGTCGTCGTCGTCGTCGTCTCCGTCGTGTCCTCGTCGTCTCCGTCTCCGTTGTCCCTCGTCGTCTTCGTCGTTCCCCTTCTCCTTGAGCGCGCGAGCCAAAGCGACATTGAGCAACGTCGTAGTTGAGTCGTGGCGAAGCCCCTCCCTACCCTCCCCGCCGGGGGGGGGGGGGTTGCCGGGGGTGTCGCCACCCAGATACGCATCCTCCCCGGGGGGTCCCGGAGCTCAGAAAAGCTTCAAGACGAGCCAAGAGCGCCAGAAGACACCCCCAAAAGGGTACAAGAGGGCCTCGACTCGACGAACGATCGCCCCAAGACGCCCAAGACGGCCCGAAGACGGCCCAAGAGGCCCTCAAGACGCTCCAAGAGAGCCCCAAGAGCACTCCCAAGAGGGCCCCAGGAGCCAAAATCGTCAATTTTACATCGGTTTTTGAATGATTTTGGCCTTCTCGCCTTTTCGGCTTTCCGACACTCCAAGACGGCCCAAGAAGCCCCCAAGAGGCCCCCAAGAGCGCACCAAGAGGCCTACAAACGGGCCCCAAGACGAGCCAAGAAGGCCCCAGGACAGCCCAAGAGGCGCCCAAGACGGCCCAATAGGGCCCCAAGACGGGCCCAAGAAACGGCCAAGAGGGGGACGAGGAACCGCGAATTCGAGACTTCCGCCCTAAGAGGCCCCCGGGAAGCCCCAAGAGGCCCCCAAAAGGCCCCAAGAGGCCCCCAAGCGGCGCCAAGACGCCCCCAAAATGCGCCGAAGACGGCCTCCGGAAGCCCCAAGAAGCCCAAAAGAGGCCCGAAGAGGCCCCACAACGGCCCCCAAGAGGCTTCAAGTTGCCTTCCACACGCCCCCGAGAGGTCAACCACGAGATCCCAACCAACATCCATAAGGCCTCCTCCTCCTCCCCCTTCACCCTTCCTCCTCCTACTCCCTTCCGCCTCCTCCTCCTCCTCGTGCTCCCCCCCTCGTGTTGTCTTTCGTCGTCTTCAGGGTCGGCGGCAACGGCCGTAAGGCCTTCGCAATAGATGGTACGATCGATCTTACTATAGGTCCCACTCGGCCGATCTCACGGTCGATTTCACATTCGATCCTTGAAGCGATCTCAATTAATCTCACAATCGAGCTCACAATCGATCCAACGATCGATCTCGCAATCGATCGCAGTATCGACCTCGCTATGGAATTGCACAATCAAGATCTCACTGCCGCTTGCACGATCGATGCAACTATCGATCTCACGATCGACCTCACTATCGATTCAACTACCAATCTCAATACCAATCTCACCACATCTCGGTCATCATCGATCTCACTGTCGATCCGGACACCATCGGCGGGACACCGCGGGACACCACTGGACACGACGGGACCTCGGGACACCACTGGGACGCCGCGGGACACAACGGGACACCATGGGACACCACGAGACACCATGGGACACCACGGCGGCACACCGCGGGACACCATCGGGAAAACGCGGGACACCACGGCGGGACACCCCGAACCACCGCGCACCCAGTGGAGGGCCCGACTTTTGCACCCGAATCGCCCCAGTGACGGCGTGATCATTCCTCTCGCGCGCCCACGGCGAAACACCGCGGGACACCATCGGGACACCGCGCGACAACACGGCGGGGCACCCTTAGCCACCGCGCGCGCTCTGGAGGGCTGGACTTTTGCCTAGCGACGGAGGGATCATTCCTCTCGCTCGCCCACGCAGCTTCGCCCCAGCCGCACGCACGACACGAAGACGAAACCGAAATCGAGTTCCAAAAGGGGGGGCGCTCCGTTCCGCTCCGATCTCAACCTCCAACCTCCGATAGCAAGCAACCCGTGCGCAACGACCGAGCGAATTCATCGTAGACGCCCTGACCAAATCATTTCACAGAATGAACTTGGTAAGTCAATCCATGTGTGCATGCTCCTGCCTGCCTGAAATGATGGGCGAGTGCCTCCGTCAAAACGCCTAATGGCCCGTAGCCACTAAAACCGAGGCTACGCGAATACGGAGCTCCAAACATGCCACTGAAACGACCAACTTCTGCGTCTACCTTGCGATTTGGCTTCGCTCGCCAACAACCAGAAACCTTACTGTTCGGAGAAGATCCGCTGGACATGACGTATCATTGCAAAGATATAGGAGCATCAACAGTGACCCAACACCACCACGAACAGCGCCCCCTCCTGTGTGAGCAATCTCGCCGACTCGTCTAACCGCTGCTCAATCTCGTTGAGCACGCAGAATTCTGGTGAGGAGCCCAAGACATCAGAAATCACATGCAGTCGAATGGTGCGCGCGCCGGTGGCAACATTAACTGTTCAGGTCTACTCAGATCTGGCCGACGTCTTATTAAGCAACTGCTGTAGGGGATCATACTGTTCAGATAGGACGTGCATGGTGCATACCAGAGAAGCGCAACGGTAGGTAAGTATGGAACTGTTACCCTCTTGCTGATCGACTCCGTGCCTGCGTTTCTAACATGCTGTTACCTCTCTCTCTCTGTCTCTCTCTCCTTGCTACTTACTCGGCGCCAGTGTTTGTATTATATAAATATGTATATAAGTGTATGTGTACGCATATGTATACATACACTTATATACAGATGTATATACATATCAGATCCGCCACAATGCCTCTGGGCACGGATCGGGCGTGTCCTCAAGTCCTGTGTCGAACCGTCTAAACGTGTCCTGTCCTGATGAGTCTCTAAGGGGCCCGGACCCCAACTTGCCACATTTGGCGGGGCTCCCGGCTTCCCCCCTGGGCTGCGGCGCATCTTGTCGCATGACTTTCCGGGGCCCCAGAAGGCCCCAAGACGGGCAAAAAGGCCCCAAGAGGCCCCCAAGACGGTCCAAGAGATCTCGAGTCGCCGAAAGATCGTCCCAGAACGCGCGCAACGGCCTCTGGATTGCCCACGAGGCCCCTGAGACGCCCCCAAAGCCTCCAAGAGGCCTCCCGCCACGAAGCCAAGATGCTTCTTTTCCTTAGTTTCTGAAGCACCGATGAAATCCCTCATCAATAGAATTTGTTTGACCCTCGTCAGTGAACTTTTAGACCTGGCACGGCCGCGCAAGCGGGGTCGACCACGAGAGGTGCTGTCGAGGGAAATGTTGAGACACGCTCAGAATGCATATGTACAACATCACATCATTTGGTCAGATATTGCTGCCGTTCCGGCAGATACCTGCAGATGAGCAGCACGACAACACGGCCGAACGCGTTGATTTCTCCTCCTTGCTCATGTACGTGCGCATACGGCTGCGTATTATTACTGTGATTAATGTCATCATCCTCAATATATCACTATTATTATTACTCGTATTGCTCGTGTTATTCACCATCTCCAAAACATGGGGTTATTGTCATTACTCCGACCGCTTCGAACTCCCTAATCCTTCCTCCTCTTCCTTCTCGTGTTTTGTTATGATATGCATGTTATGTTATGATATGGAATGCAATGGTATGGCATGACATGTCGTGGTATGTCATGTTGTGCTGTCTTATGGTATGATATGGTATGGTATGGTATGGTACGCCATGTCTGATATGACAAAATATGAACTGACTTGGTATGCTACGGAATGGTACGTTATGATATGCCATGCAATAGTTTGTTACGTTACGCTATACTGCAATGATGCTGCTGCTGATGATGATGATGGTAGTGGTGATGATGCTGATGCTGCTGCTGATGATGATGATACTATGAGGTTGATGATAATGAAGATGGCGGGGCAACTTCTGAGGATGTCTCGAGCGAGGCGCGGGTTTCAGCATCCCCAATGGGGAGCCGCCAGGGGGTATCTCACTCCTCCGTTCGAGCCAAAATGGCGGGGATGTCTCGAGAAGGGCGCCTGTTTTGGTGCCCAGCATCCTCCGCTTTCGGAGCAGATTCTGAAGATGTCCCGAGCGAGGCGCTCATTTTCGCCCCCAAGGGGGAGCTGTCAGGAGGTATCTCACTCCTCTGTTCGCGCCAAAATGGCGGGGATGTCTCGAGAGGGGTGCCTGCTTTGGTGCCCAACATCCTCCGCTTTCGGAGCTGATGTTGGGGATGTCTCGAGCGAGGCGCTCATGTTCGCGTCCAAGGGGGGCCAGATTTTGAGGGTGTCTCGGGCGGTGTGCCTATGTTGCTGGTCAGGCCAGTGGGCACGGATCCTCTTCAGGATGCCACGGGAGGCTCCAGCAGGCTCCAGGAGGCTCCAGGAGGCAACAGGATGTACCAGGAGGTATCAGGATGCCACTGGAGGCCCCAGGAGGCCCCAGAAGGCCCCAAGAGGGTCTGGGAGCTGGAGGCATCGTAAGGCCACAGGAGTGGTTCCAATCCCATATGTTTACGTATGCTCCTATAGTGGGCCTCACCTGGAGCACGAATCCTTGGCATGTTACGTATGTTTCTATAGACGGTCCTTCTCCTGAGCACCCAATCCGAAGTGTTTTACGTATGTCCCTGTAGATTGGGCCTCCCACATGTGCACGAGTCCTTAATGGTTTACTTGTGTTCCTATAAATTGCTCTTCTCCTGCGGCTCCACTCCGCTGTGTTTTTTATGTACGTCTGTTCCCACATTGTGCCTCTCCTGGGGCACGAAGCCTCCCCAGGAGACCCCAGGAGGCTCCAGGAGGCTCCAGGGACCCCAGGAGGCCACACGAGGCCCCAGGAGGCCTCAGGAGGCCACAGAAAGCCCCAAGAGGCTCCAGGGGGCCCTAAGGGGCTCCAAGAGGCCCCAGAAGCCCCAGGAGGCACCAGGGTCATGCGCAGAGACGCGCTCGTACTAATGAGACTCATTCACACTCCAACTCATCCACAGTTAGATTCACTCCCAGACCGTCACTACCCAAGCCTGATTATATTCGAAAGCTCTTGCCTCTAGACACTCACGGCGGACAGGTCCATGCTAACATATGCACATATGGGGAGCTCCACGCAGTGAATACTTACTAGTATGATTTAGTAGTTGTAGTATCAGTAGTATGTCTTGTTTTGTGGTTGCTACGATAAAAATTGTTATTGTTCGTCTTCGTGTGCATGTCCGTGTGATTAGTATGATGAGATGTTTGAAGGATTGTGGCGCTCTCGCCTTTTCTGGCTTTCCGACGCTCCAACACAGCCCGAAAGGCCACCAAGACCACCCCAAAAGGTCCGAAGACGTCTCAACACGGCCGAAGAGCTCTCCAATACGGCCGAAAAGGCGCCCAAGACGGCCCAAGATGGCCCCAAGAACGAGGCCCAAGACAGGGCACACGAACCGAAAATCTGAGCCTTCCGCCCCAAGGGGTCCCAACGAGGCTCCAAGAGGCGCCCAGGCGGCCCCAAGAGGCCTCCAGAGGCCCCAAGAGGCACCCAAGATACCTCAAACGACCCCCAAGAGGCCTCCAAACTGCCTCCAAGAGGCCTCCAAAAGGCCCACCACGATATCCAAACCCACATCCAATAGACTTCACACCCACAACTCAAGCACGGTGGCGGGATGGGCCGAACACAAGTTTGTATGTATGTATGGATGCATGTATGTATGTATGTATGTATGTATGTGTGTATGTATGTACGTGGGCATACGTACATACATACATACATACATACATACATACATACATACGTACATACATACATACGATAGAACGCGTTTCACGGGCGCTTGCCTGGGGAACATTCGGCGGCGCGTTTCGAACCGGGGGGTGGCCCCCCCCCCAACACTCGGCGCCGTCGATCAAAACCAGGGGGACCCCCCTCCCCCCCAAACCCCCCCCTCCCGAACCCCCCCCCGCTCCCCCCTCGCAAGGGGGGCGGGGGGTTTCAACCCCCCCCCCCATCGGCGCCGGCGCCGGCGCTGGCGGCCAGCAGCAGCGCCCACGGCGGGCACGCAGCGACGATGACCAGAGGCAGCCCAGGGGTTCGAACCCCCCCCCCTCGCGCCGAGGGGGGAGGGGGGTTTCAAACCCCCCCCAGCCCCCACCCCCACTCGCGCCAGCGCCGGCGCTGGCGGCGGTCAGCAGCGCCGGCGCTGGCGCTGGCGACGGCGGGGACGCAGCGACACTTACCACCACTACCACCACCACCACTACCACCACCACCATCGCCTCAACCCACCACCACGACCAACAGCACCACACAACCACCACCACCACCACAACCACCACCACAACGCACCATCACCACCACCACCACCACAAAACCCACCACCACTAGCACCACCACCACCACAACCTACCACACCACCACCACCACCGCCACGACCACCACCACTACCAGCAGCACTACCCACCGCCACCACCACAAACCACACACCACCACCACCACCACCACCACCCACACAAACAAACGTCACAAACCAGCGCCGCCACCACAACCCACCACCACCACGAACCACCCCCACACCACCACCACACCACCACAACCACCACCACAACTCACCATCACCACCACCACAAAACCCACCACCACTACCACCACCACCGCAATCTACCAACAACACCACCACCACCGCCACAACCACCACCACTACCACCAACACAATCCACCACAACCACCACAAACAACCACACCACAACCACCACCCCCACCACCACCACCACCAGCACCACAGCAACACACCACCGCCACAACCACAACCCACCACCACCACCACCACCACCACCAACCACCACCACATCACCACACCACCAAACCACCACCACCACTACAACCCACCACCACCACCGCCACCACCACAAACCACCACCACACCACCACCAAACCACCACCACCACCACCCACCGCCACAACCACCACCACCACAACAAACCACCACACCACCACCACCACAACCACCACCACCGCCACCACCACCACCACCACAACCCACCACCACCACCACCGTCGTCCTCGTCGACGCTCCCCGCCACCGCCGCCCGCCGCCGCAGGCGCCGGCGCCGGCCCAGAAATGGAGATCGTCGTCCCCGCCGCCGTCGCCGCCGCCGACTCAAGCGCCGGCCCGAGGAGAGGGGAAGCAGGGGAAGGAGGGGGGGGCGTTCGACACCCCCCCCATCACGGGAGGGGGATGGGTCCGGTTTCACCCCCCCCCCTCCAAGCGACCACAGAACGCGCTCTTTAGACAGACAGACAGACAGACAGACATACATACACACTCATACATACATACATACATACATACATACATACATACATACATACATACATACTTACTTACTTACATACATAAATCCGCCGACCCTGTCGGCGTGTGTGAGGGGCTTTTCCGTTCGAGCCGTCATCTCCGTCATTCTTTGTACTCGTCGTCTCTGTCCTTCCCTTTCCCTGGGAGACCTCTTCCCCTGGGCTCCAGCCAAGCCGACCTTGAGCAACCTCGTAATTGAGTCGAAGGGAAGCCCCTTCCCTTTGATCCCTCCCCCGCCGGGAGGGGGGGGGGGTAGCGACCCCCCCCCGGGTCAGATACGACGCCCCCCCCTGGGACTCCTCTTCCCCTGGGCTCCAGCCAAGCCGACCTTGAGCAACCCCTGGGCTCCAGCCAAGCCGACCTTGAGCAACCTCGTAATTGAGTCGAAGGGAAGCCCCTTCCCTTTGATCCCTCCCCCGCCGGGAGGGGGGGGGGGGTGTCGACCCCCCCCCCGGGTCAGATACGACGCCCCCCCCTGGGACTCCTCTTCCCCTGGGCTCCAGCCAAGCCGACCTTGAGCAACCTCGTAATTGAGTCGAAGGGAAGCCCCTTCCCTTTGATCCCTCCCCCGCCGGGAGGGGGGGGGGGTGTCGACCCCCCCCCCGGGTCAGATACGACGCCCCCCCCTGGGACTCCTCTTCCCCTGGGCTCCAGCCAAGCCGACCTTGAGCAACCTCGTAATTGAGTCGAAGGGAAGCCCCTTCCCTTTGATCCCTCCCCCGCCGGGAGGGGGGGGGGGTGGGACCCCCCTCTTCCCCTGGGCTCCAGCCAAGCCGACCTTGAGCAACCTCGTAATTGAGTCGAAGGGAAGCCCCTTCCCTTTGATCCCTCCCCCGCCGGGAGGGGGGGGGGGTAGCGACCCCCCCCCCGGGTCAGATACGACGCCCCCCCCTGGGACTCCTCTTCCCCTGGGCTCCAGCCAAGCCGACCTTGAGCAACCTCGTAATCTCTTGCTGCGCATTGCGAACAGGGTCGGCGGCACCGGCCGTCAGGCCTTCGCAATACATACATACATACATACATACAGACAGACAGACAGACAGACAGACATAGTACTGAGTGTAAATACGTGCTACATGCTACATGCATACAGTCATACATACATACATACATACAACCACACAAACATACCGAAACACACACAACATTTCATACACACATATATACACATACATACATGCATACATACATACACACATACATACATACATACATACATACATACGTACGTACGTACAAACATACATACATACATACATACATACATACATACCCATGTACATACATACATATATTCATGCGTGAATGTATGCATACATACATACACATACGTACAAAACAACCGTCCACCCATTCATACATACATCGATCCACCCATGCACGCATGCATGCTCGCGTGAATTACATTGCGTTGTAATACATAATACATTGCAGTACATTACACTAGTCACTCGAGTACGGTACTTGCCAATTCATTGCGCTACGATACAACACGTCGCAATACGTTAGACCATACTATCTCATATTACATCACATCACGGCACATCATATTACACCACAATCCACTACATGACATTACATTACTATGTTGTACAGCAAAACGTATCGACACACATCCCAGACAACTCCCCGGACAACCCCTCCGAGATGGAGACCGCAAGCGTCCTAGCATTTAAGTGTGGCCAACGCTTGAGCGAGAACACCGTTCCCTACCAGGGATGTGGCCGGCGCATTGGAGAGAGCACCTTTTTCAATCAGGGATGGGGCTGGCATCCAGTGCTCGGGCGACAGCTCACTTCCCAATCGAGAGTGTGGTCACTGCTGAGGCGACATCACCACTCCCGTTTAGGGATATGGCAAGCGCTCCAACGACAGCACCAGTCACCACCTTCCCCCCGATTCTGTGGGAGTCCACTGTCTGCTCGTCGTTGGGTCAGGGCACCTTTGTGCACAGAGTTGCGAGGCTGGCTCAGGCAAAACTGGCTGGACAACCTCGCGCGCAGCATCTCAAAAACTGTAGTTTCGAGGATGTCTCAGGCGAAAGTAGCTGAACCACCTCAAGTGAAGACATGCCATCCCCGAGCTCAGAGTTACCAAGATGTCGCAGGGGAAAATTACCGGACGCTGAGGAATGAGGAGAAGGCCAAAAAACTGAAAAATGAGGAGGCCCAAGAAAATGCGTGGGTAGGATTGCGCCAGAACAAGCCCGGGATAACCCCCCAGACAACCCGGTTGACAACCCCCGCCTCCAAGAGGCCCTCAGAAAGCTCCCAGGAGGCCCCACGAGTGACCCAGTAGGCTCCCAAGAGGCCTCATCCTCCCTTCCCCCTTTTTCGTCATATCTTACTCCGCCTTATCATAATCCAAGCATTTACTAAACGATTGTCACAACGGCTCGAGGAACACCTGGTCCGATAACTTATCCAAACTCAAACCCAACCATTTGACCGCAAAGGCGCTTTTCAAAACGTCAGTGAGGCCCCCAAGAACGGTAAGCGAGACCAGATCGAATTCTTCTTTGTATTCATTCTCGCCCACGTGTTCTCCGAAGGCTTTCCAAACCAACTCGGGGAACACATGGTCCGATGGCTTGGCCGAACTCTGAGAAAACTTCCGACCACATAGGCGATCCCAAAACATCAGGGGGCGGCGGTGATTGTCTTCGATCCGCCGTACCCTATGGTCTTGCCACTGGGGTGCCTGGCGTACTGGATGTTTGGAGATGCTTGGTTCTTTGAGAACTCCCCCTGTGGCTTCGGCCGATGCCGCCGGCCACCTGGAAGGCTGCGTTGGAGGTGTGGCTGCAACGGTTATTAGTTTCCTAAATGGCTCCAAGATGGCCCAAGTTTGCCTCCAAAACGGCCAAGATGGCTCTCAAGTTCGCTCAAGATGGTCCAGGATGACATCCAAGACGGCCCAGGAGAGTCCAAGATGTCTCCAAGTTCACCCAAGAAGCTTCCAAGACGTCCCAAGACGGCCCAAGAGGCCTCCAAGAGGCCTCCAAGACGGCTCCAGAGGCCTCCAAAAAGTGCTCCAGGAGGGCCCGAACGTTACTGATTGGCCTCAAGCTTGGGGCAATTGTGTCTGTTGGGCCTTCCGACGGCCCGAGACGGCCCAAGAGGCGCCCGTGATTGCCCCTCGGTCTTCCCATAGGACTGCAAGATGGCCCCAGGACGGCCCAAGAGGAGACAGCCCCCAACGGGCCCCAAGACGGCCCAAGAGGCCTCGAAGATGCCGAAGATAGCCTCTAAAACAACCCTGAAGCGCCCCAGGAGGGCCCCAAGTTGGTTCAGAGAGGCGCCGAATACGGTTTCCGACAGCGCCAGGCGGGCCAGGAACGCCCCAAGACGGCCAAAGCGGCCCCGAAGAAGCCCCCAAAGGCCCCCAAGAGACCCAAGGAGGCCCCGAACAGGCCTCCAAGAGTCCCCCAGGAAACTCCCAGGAAACCCCACAAATGCCCCAAAAGGCTTCCAAGAGGCCTCCTCCTCCTCCTTCCTTTTCCTTCTTCTCCTCATTATCCTCTTCGCCACGTGTTCCCCGAAAAGGTCTCAACGACAGCTGGTGAACACACATGGTCCGATAGTTCTAGCCCAATGTTCGGCCACACAGGCCCTTCCAAACAGGCAGGGGGCGGCTGTGATTCGCCGTAGGCGTGTTCGAGATCGAACTAGAGAGAGGGAGAGCGAGAGAGAGAGAGGGGGAGAGAGTTAGAGTGATGTACGTACGTATACGTATGCACATGTACGTATTATTGTCGACCGCCGTTGTAGGCCTCCGTTGTTGCCTCCATCCGCAATGTTTCCTCGTCGCCCAATCACAACCTTCCTGCCTGGATGCATGACGGCCATTCCCCCATCACTCTTCTCAGCTGCTAAAGGTTACCTGCAAGAGCAAAATGAACAAACATGATGCCTGAATACCAGACGCGCCACTTCTTCACCTCAGTTAGCCGTCCGACATACGGATGGTGGAAAAAAGGAACGTCCAAGGGCAACCCAGCCATTGATAGCGCGGACAAATAGCACGCTGGGAACATCGATGACGCACTGGCACGAGAGAAGCGAAACGGCCAATCATACATAAGCAGCGACAGTGCGGAACCTGGAATGAGAAAGTTGCGAAGCCAGCTAACCAGCTACACTACACGTGCGTCGCTGATCGTCCAGGCGCCTCCTGGCGCTGGAGACAACCATGTATAAAGAACAATTGCTGCTGCCAAATTCAGCAGCAACTGCACGCCGCATGTCGTGCACACGCCGAACACCCCGTGACCGGGCCGCGCCGTGCAAAGCAAACCGCTGCGCGATCAGGTTTGCAAGGCCCTGCTCGGGGGCTCCCCCTGAGAGCCAGTTTTTCTCCCCGCGGAACGATTCATCGTGGCCTGGGGGGACCCATGGGTGGCCGAGAACAACACACAATCCCCATCACTAAAGATCTGGCACATGTAGAACCCCGCAGTCGCAGATAAGAGTGATAGGGGGCGGAAGGGACGTCTGCAAAATGCCAGGATCCGACAAACCCCGCCGAAGGCGCCGACATTTTACAAATTGTACATGGAATCCGCCGCAGGCCGCGATTTTCGTTAAAACAATGTGGGTGGGTCGCGGGGTGGGTCGCGGGTGCATCGCAGCCCGAGTCGCGGGTGTTCGCGGGTGGGTCGCGGATGGGTCGCGGGTGGGTCGGGGGTGGGCCGCGGTCGGGTCGTTGGGTGGGCAACGGGTGGGTCGTGAGTGCGTCGCGGAACGGGGCGCGGACGGGTCGCGGGCGGACCCGAGGGGGGTCGCGGGGCGGGTCGCGGGCGGGTCGCGGGGCGGGTCGCGGGAGGGACGACGCCAAACAACAACAACAACAACAACAACAACAACAACAACAACAACAACAACAACGACGACGACAACAACAACAACAACAACAACAACAAGTACAACAACAAGTACAACAACAACAGCAATAACAACAACAAAAACAACAATCACTTTACTAATGTTCGCTCTTATCTGCTCGCGTGTCATTCAACATGCACTGGATACCCGCCCTCCTCGTGTTCGATCGAATCCCCTTTTGGGGGTAGATTCATTCCCTGCCACGAGCGGTTAGTGAAGCCTTTTGAAAACGAAGGGTAACATATAACGGGGGAGAATGAGGGCGAAGGGACCGGAGGAAGGGGGGGGAGGGGCAAGAAGGAAGGAGGACGATGATTTGCGCTGCGAGTGGCGACTCAGCTTGCGCCATGGTTTGCGCCAGCCACTCCAACAGAGGTTAACAATCAGTTTCGCCATGGGTCGCGCCATGAACAGCACCACGTACCACCCCCTTGAAAGAACATATCGTGGATACCCCCGCGGGGGGACGTACAGCTGCGAACTGGTGTCAGAAACAAATTTCGTGGAACCCTGAAAAGAAGCGGGATGCTCGGAGAGTGGGACGGAAGGATAGTGAGAACTGCAGAGGTGTCGAGAGGAACGCGGAAGCCCCAAGTGAGAGCGCGATTCTCCAATAACTTGTGAGGAAATATCGAGCGGGAGCCGCGACCCGGTGGTAAATTGCACGGGAGTCCCAAGCAGGAACGCGATTCTTGAATACGTTGTGAGGATGTATCAAGCGAGAGCCGCTGTCATTGTAAACCGGGGGCCAACGACACAGTTTGACCCTCAAGACTTTCCCTGAAAGAAAGCAGGGTGCGAGCCCCGGGAAGGGCACTTCAATCAAAAAAACAATGTGCACTGGACGGGGGGATCAACAATAATTATTTCAAAAGTAAGAGTTCAACGACAACAGCAACAATCAGTTTAAGACTATTCGCTCTTATCTGCTCGAGTGTCCGTTAACGCATATTTCCCAAACCTTCGATACCCGCCCTCTTCGTCTTCGATCGTACCCCTTTGGGGGTTATACCTTTCTTCCCTGCAGGCAAGGCCCCGGCAAACAGCAGGGTGGCCGCGGACCGTCGGCCTGGCCAGAGGCAGCGCTGATCGGCGGCAGCCCGACCCCAAGAGGGACGGACAGGGGACCGACCACGACGACGACGTCGACGACGACGGCGGCGACGACGAGCGAAAGCGAGAGCGAGAGCGAGAACAACAGCAGGGCCACGAAGGGCACGAAGTAGGCCACGAGGGGCGACAGCGGGGACACGAAGGGAATGCGCATGGGGCCACGAAGAGCGCGAACGAGCGTGGGTCACGAAGGGCAGATAATGCGGGACCACAGAAGGCAACCACGGGGCCACTGAGGTTAGCAACTGGGCTACGTAGGATATCGAGGAGGCCACAAGGGGCGACAGCGGGGCCACGAAGGGCATGCACATGGGGCCACGACGGGCGCGAACGAGCGTGGGCCACGAAGGGCATACGTATACTGGGCCGCGGAGGGCAAGGACGGGGCCACTGAGGGCAGCAACGGGGCCACGAAGGGCAGCGCAGGGGCCACGAAGGGCGACAGCGGGGCCACGAAGGGCATGCACATGGGGCCACGACGGGCGCGAACGAGCGGGGGCCACGAAGGCCATACACATATGAGGAAACTACAGGCAACGAGGGGGCCACGAAGGTCTGCAACGGGGCCAGCGAGGGGGCCACGAAGGGCTGCAACGGGGCCTTGAAGCGCAGCGAGGGCGCCACGAGGGGCTGCAACGGGGCCACGAAGGGCAGCGAGGAGGCCATGAAGAGCTGCAACGGGGCCACGAAGCGCAGCGAGGGGGCCACGAAGGGGTGCAACGGAACCACGAAGGGCAGCTAAGGGGCCACGAAGAGCTGCCACGGGACCACGAAGGGCAGCGAGGGGGCCACGAAGGGCTGCAACGGGCACGAAGGGCAGCGAGGGGGCCACGAAGGGTTGCAACGGGGCCACGAAGGGCAGCGAGGGGGCCACGAAAAGCTGCAACAGGGCCACGAAGGGCAGCGAGATCCCGATTCCTACATAATCTGTGAGGGAGTCCTTGGCGTGAGCGCGACTCCTGGGTGCCTGAGTGTCGGGAGCGCGGCGCTTGAGTAAAGTGCAACAAATTCCAACGCAAGGGCTCTATTCTTGAGTAAATTGCAAGCAAGTCTCCAGCGAGAGCTCGACTCCAGAGCGCCGAGAGAGCGATTCCTGCATACATTAGAAGGAAGTCCCAATCGAGAGCGCGATTCCTGAATGAAACGCGAGGAAGTCTCAGGCGGAAGCGGGGGTCCTGGCCAAATTGTGAGGGAGTCTCAAGCGGGAGCCGTTGTTGTTGCAACCTGGGGGCCAGGGGCACAGTTTGAGGAGGAAGACTTCCCCGGATAAAAAAGCAGGTGCGAACGCTGAAAGGGGCAGTTCAATTGAAAAATACAATGTGCACTGGAGGGGGGGATCAACAATAATTGTTCTTCGATAGTGATGATTCAACAACAAAACAACAAGAACAATAATTTTAAGACTGTTCGCTCTGATCTGCTCGCGCGTACCTCACCACGTATATCCCAAAACCCCCGGTACCTGCACTTTTCGTCTTCGATCGTACCCCCTCTGGGGAATACATCTTCCTGACCTGCCGCGCGTATTGGGCGCAGCCCCAAAAAGAGCAAGAGGAGTGAGAAATGAGAGAAAGAGAGAGAGAGAGAGAGAGCGACAGAAAGAGAGAGGGAGAAAGAGAGAGAGAGAGAGGAGAAACACAAAAAGCGAGGAGGTGAGGAGTGGGGGAAGGGAGGGAGGCAAGGGACAGGAGGGAGAGAACAAAACTGCGGACGTGAGAGGTGAGAAGGCGAGGGGTTTTAGAGAGGATCCGGAAAACAAGCGGCAGACCCGGACGGTTGGGTCGGGCAACGGTCCCGAACGGGCAGGTGGGGCGGGCAGGGCCTGCAGACCCGCGGGCGGACCCTAACGGGCGGGTCGGGCGTGCGGGACGTGAAAGCACCCGGCGAGCTTCCAAGCGAGCCGCTGGGCCTGCCGTCACAGGCAAGTCAGGCGGGCGGCCCTGACGGGCAGGTCCGGCAGGCGGATCAAAGCGTGAGTCCTGAATGAATTGTGGGGAAGTCTCAGGCGAGGGGGTGCGGGTAAATCTTCATTACTTGGCACGTGTAGTTGGCGCGGGGCAGCCCCTAAAACAGCGAAAGAAGAAGACAGGAACGAAGAGAGAGAGTGTGAGATACTTGGAGGACAAAGATGAAACACGAATGGGATTGACAGGAGGCCGGCAAAGAGCAGGAAAACAAGCGGTTGAAAAAGACGGGCGGGTGGCGGGCGGACCCCGACTGTCGGATCGGGCGGGCGTCACAAGTTGCGAGTCACTTTGCGCCATGGCTTGAACACGATATTGCAACATCAGTAAGCAATGGGTTTCGCATGGGATGCGCCATGAGGTGTGCCATGTACCATCCCTTGAGAACGAACGACGACTATGCACGAAATGAAGGGCCTCTGGGGCCAGGGGGAGCGATGGGGGCTGGAGCAAGGGCCAAGGATCTGGGCAGGAGGGCCAGTAGTGAGGCCATCAGTGGCCCCGATGCTGCCCGCAGCGAGGGGCCACTGAAGGCAGCATCGGGGCCACGAAGGGCAGAGACTCGGCCACAAGTGAAGGGGCCACGAAGGGCAGCACTGAGGCACAAAGGGCGCGAGCGAGTATGGAGCACGACGGGCATGACCCTGACGAGCGGGGCGAGCGGGCGGATCGATCGTGAGTTCTGCGTGATAACCAGGAAGTTTCCAGCGAGAGAGTGATTCCAAAATAAATTTGGAGAAGTCCCCAGCGAACGCGCGATTCCTGAATGGCAAGAGCGCGGCGCCTGAGTAAATTGCGAGGAATTCTCAGGCGGAAGCGCGATTCTTGAATAAATTGCGAGGAAGTCTCAAGGGGGAGCGGGAGGCCAAAGTAAATTCCGAGGAAACATCAAGCGGGAGCCGTGCTTGTTGTAAACTGGGGCCAGGGGCACAGTCTGAGGAAGAAGACTTTCCCTGATACACAAGGTACGAGCGCCGGGA